AACTTCTTCTAGTCAAGTCGGCAATATAACCAAAGTCTCAAAGAATATAGCTCACATGTATTCTAACGTGTTTAGGCAATACAACTCATGTATTTTTACCAAGCAACTATTTAAATCTTCCCATGTATTTTTTCCTTACCTATGTAACTTTAGTATGCATCCCTTCCTATAAAGTTAGACCCGAGCCCAAAAATATAAATAAGGGATCAATGATAGAGCTCAGGTTATTAAATTATATGAAAGTTTTAGTTTTATCTTTGAATAAATAATATTTAAAAAAGAGGTTAAATCTCTGGGTTCCGGTAACATTCTTCCTCGTAATAAGATAAATGAGAAGTTTTATAAAGATAGGGGTGGGAGTACTTCCCCCTTAAATTGATTAAATATCTTCCATCGCTTTTTGGAATTGTAGGTGGGCTAAGAAAAGGGAAGCTTCTCTTTAGTTAAGGGAGTTTTTGAAAGATTTTGATGTGCTTTCTATTGGGATTGTGGAGGCCAAAATCTCTTCTATCAACAGGTTTGAATTCAATAAGTTAATGGGGGAGGATTGGGATTTTTTTCTTTTACCTTTGGAAGGATTGTCAAGTGGTATCTTGGCTTATTGGAGATCTGATTTATCTTTATTCTTGGTTGTGGAAGTATTGCCTCAATTTGTTATGGGTAAATTTAATATTTATAACAAAGGAGTCTGGTTGGTTTTGACGGTGTATGGTAGCAAGGATGTATATTAGAGGAGATGTTTGTGGAATAGCTTAGAATTGTATTCTAACAGAGATATTCCTTTGATTGTGTGTGGATAATTTAATTGAATTCTGTCTTAAGAAGATAAAAGAGGGCGAAAAAAAATTGTTTTCTCTCAAGGACCAAAGGAAATGAAAATGTTCTTGAGTAACAACGATCATCATGATGTTGGTGTGGTGGGGTCTAAATTCACTTGGTGAAATAATAAAAATGGCGGTGTTCGTATTTTGGTAAAATTGGATAGATGTTTATTAAATTATTTGTCTTTAAATGTTGTTCCTTTAGCGGTAGTGAGGCATTTGCCTAGAGTGGCATCAGACCACTGTCCTATAGTTTTGAAGGTGTTTAATGCTGATTTTCATCAGAAGAGAATTCTGAGATATGAAGATGTGTGGGTTTCTTTTTATGCTTCTTTTGCTATTGTCTTTAGATCTTATAATAAGCAAGCTGGAGGGGATGTGGTTCAGGTTTTGAATAAGAAGTTTAAAAGAACACTTAAGGATTTATTCTATTATTTTTTTGAAGAAATGCACTAGTCAAATTTTATTAAACATAAAAAAATAGCCTAAGAATCCCCCATCACATTCCTCTAACAAAAATAAAGGAATGAGGAATTTTATTATAGCTAATATCATCCCAAAAAAATCTAAAAAAAGAACATAGTTAGCACACAAATCGGCTAACATATTACAGTTTCTATTGGCGAAAAGAAATAAAACTTGCTTGAAGTCATTAAGAAAAACTATATCCTTCAGATTTAAGATTTCCATCTTGACTTCATCCTTATTCAGCATAATTTTCTGAAATAATTTGATAACATTATAGTTATACCCATCAATGATGATATCGTTAGCCTCAATCATCCAATCTTGTTCAATTGGAGTAGATCTAAGTTTCAAAATTTTAATGTGTTGAAAGAAAATCATAAAAAAGAGGCGTTGGAATTTCAAGAGGAAGAAGCTAGTGGTAGTGGTTTATTTGAGAAAAAACATCTTTTGCTTAGATCAAAGGTTCATGATTTGAACTTGTTGGTTTCTCCGTTAAGTACTTGGTGGAGACAGAGGGATAAAATTAAATGGATGAAAGATGGAGATTCAAATACCAGATTTTTTCATTCTTTTGCAAATGTGAGGAGAAATGCAAATCGGATTAAACAAGTCAAAGACATCAATAGTGTGTTGGTTGAAGATCAGGATGGGATGGAAGGAGTTTGTCTGAATTTCTTCAAAGATAAATGGAGAAAGAGGAATTGTGTTCTCAATGGGTGGCCATCTCCCTTGACTTTCCTTGAAGACATAGATAGAAGACTATTAGAAGCCGAATTTACTAAGGAGTGCATTGAGGTGATTAAGCATCTTGGGAGTAATAAATCACCTGGCATTGATGGAATCGCATATTCTTTCATCAAATTCTATTGCAGCATTATTGGTGATAATGCTTGGAAGGCTATTAGCTTATTTTTCACGACATGTTAGATTTGTTTATCTTAGAAAGAAACTCTTATTGTTCTTATTCCAAAAGTTAGTAATCCAATGGCCCATTCTAATTATCATCCTATAAGCCTATGCTTGTCTATTTATAAAATTATTGTAAGAATGTTGCTTAATAGATTGATCTTGGTGATTCCTAAACTCATTTTTGAAGACCAAGCAGCTTTTGTTAAAGATTACTCTTTATTTGATCTTTTTTTTTTTGGCTCAAGAAGCTTTTAATAAGTTTAAAATATCTAAATCTAAAAAAAGCTTGATGGATATTAAGATTGATATGGAATAAGCGTACGATAGTATGAGCTGGTTGACCTTAAGATAATTATTGGATCTTTTTGATTTCCCGATGAAGTTCTCAATTCTTTTGATGGAATATGTTGTGGATCCAAAATGTTTCATTTTGATTAATGGCAAATATTCAGATTGGATTGAAGGAATGAGTAGATTTAGAAAAGGATGTCTGTTGTCTCCTTATTTATTCATTTTGTGTTCCCAACTTTTATCTAGTGCTTCTCTTTTTCACGAAGGAAGAAACATTGGGATCAAAATCGCTCCAAAGGCTCAAAAGATTTCTCATCTTTTATATGCTGATGATATCCATATTTTTTTGGAAGCAAAATTTAGGAGTGTTAGAAAGGTGAAAGGGATCATAAAAAAGTATTGCAAGTAGTTTGGTTAGAACATTAATTTGCAGAAATAATCTATCTTGTTTAGCAAGTCGGTGGAAAGGAAGAGGAAAAACTATATTTCCAAGTTGTTGGGTTAAAGGTGGTTAAGGAGATGAAATATCTTGGGCTGAAGATTGCTTTGAGGATGTTTTTGATTTTTTTATTTTCATAATCTAATGGAGAAGGCCTTGAAAAGATTGAATGCTTGGGGAAACAAATTTATTTCTTTGGCAGGGAAGCTTGTTCTTGTCAAAGCTATTTTTTTGTATCTTCTCATATTTCTTTCTTCTCACACTTTAGTTCCTATGGGTCTTTTATGCGAATTTGATAAATTATGTAGATACTTTATTTGGCATAAGTAAGATGGTAATCAATGACTTCATTATGTTGTTTGGGACGTACTGTGTAAGCCAAAAAATAGTGGAGGCCATGGACTATTTTCAGCTAAAGCATTAGTTGGTCCATTCCTTGCGAAGTTTGCTTGGAATTTTTTTGCCAGCCCGAATTCTCTGCTCAATAGGAATCTAATTGCAAAATATGGAAAAATATATATGGGATTACAAAGTTAGAAGAGGGTGTTCTTCAAAATGGAAAATTATGGTTAATGATGCAAAGTATGTGCATCCTACTGTAAGGTGGAATTCTTCAAATGGAAATTCTATTAATATCCTTAGATATGTGTGGATTTCTGATATAAGCTTGGAGAGATGGCCTATGTTTGTTGGAGGTATGGGAGAGGTTGGATTTTCTCTTGATAGCTTTATTTCATATGGTAGATGGGATGAGGTGCAAGTTGAACAAGTTTTTGGCAAAGAATTGTGTGATCTTATCAAGCAGATTCATATCTATTTGAATTTGGAACAAGACCATATAGAGCTGAAGGAAAAAGCATCTGACAGAATGATTACTTCTCTGGTAGCTGAAGCTTCGAGAGAAGACTATGAGGAAGTTAATTACTGGAAATGGATTAAGATACAGGTGTTGTTACCACGTGTAGAATTTTTCTGGCGGCGCGTTTGTTTAATGATGTCATTCCCTCTAATGATTTCTAAATGTATAGACGACTTCTGAACTATAATGGGTGTAAGAGGTTATTTGCATATTGAAAATGTGGATCACATAGATGTTGGTTTGTTCTAGGTGATACAGTATCTGTATATATGGGGTTTCGGAGTGCCAACTTTCTCCTCTTTTGCGAATTGTTGTGTATAGTTGGAGTAGCTTTCTATTTCTAATCCTTTTATTACAAACTTATATTGTGCATTGGTTTTCTTTTCATGGAAAAGTAGGAATAAACTAAAGCATGGTGAAGGTGAAGATAGTCTGGCTTTCATTGTTGCTAATGTTATTTCTATTGCTTCTTCTTCATTCTTGAGTTCAGAAAACTGGAGTGCTAATCTGCTTTCGATCTCAACTATCTTTTAATTCTTGGCCCCCTTCTCCCTCCGACTTGATTAAAGTGAACATTAATGCATCTTTGTTAAAATCTAATAGAGTTGGCATTGGCGGTGTGTTCAGACACTATAAAGGAAGATTTTTAGTTGCTTTTGGCTTCAGTTTCTTACATTGGGATATTGCCCAGTGGGAAATAATGGTTATCATAGCTTTTAAAAAAAGTAATAAATGATTGGATGTTTGAATCAAGAGGAACAATTATTGAAGGGGATAGTTACAATATTATCAAGCTTCTTCAAAGGTCTTTTGATAAAGCTAATCGGAATTCTCTTAGTGGTGGATGAGGATTTCTTTTTTTTTGAAGGAGTTCAATCAAGTATTGTTTCATTTTTCTAATCGTAATTGTAATAAGTTAGCTGATTTATGCGCTAACTATGTTATTTTTAGTGATTTCATTTGGTATGATGTTAGTAGTAATAATATTCCTTCTTTGTTTACTTATTTGTTAAAGGAGGATTGTGATAGTTTAGCTATCACTTTGTAGTTTGTAATAATTTTTTTAATTAATGCAAGCTGTATTTCTTAAAAAAAATAAAAAGAATAAATGATATTCAAGTCCACCTAATTTTTTTCAGATAGAGAGAGAGAGAGAGAGAGAGAGAGAGAGAGAGAGAGAGAGAGAGAGAGAGAGATTTTGTTAATTACGTACCGATATGACAAGGCCTGTCTTCATGTTAATGAAGAGAACGCCGAGAAGGGCAGCCATGCAAAGGCAGAAATCGAACTTATCAACTTTAAAGAGATGGCGAAGCTCATGAAGCTCGATGACGCCGATCATGGCAACGATGATAATGACCGCAAGAGCCACAAGTGGTGTGTACTTGAATAGTGGAGCTAAGAATAAAAGAACCAGCATCATACATACTGCCATCACTGCATTTGACATTGGCGTTTTGCATCCAGCGTGGTAATTAACTGCTGATTTTGAGAAGGGACCTATATTTATAGATCAAGAAAAACAACGCAAAATTTTTTACTAATTAGTGCCAAATGAACATCCTAGCTTAAAGAAAAATAATAAATCACTGAACAAAAAGTGTTGGAAACTATTTAAATACCAGTGGTTAAATAACATGAGGTGAAGGAACCAGCTATGTTCATCAATCCAAAAGCAATCATCTCCTTGTTCCCATCTATCTGCTCGTTTTTTAGCAAAGCCAAGCTCCTACCTACAGCTACTCCTTCCTGTAATATTATTGTTAAGTATTTGTTATCGTGATGAAAAAAAGAGTATTATGGGAAATTAAATAATAATGCATTTATCCACATCATACCGCAAGAGCAATGAATCCAGTGATGATTCCAGCTTTCATGGCAACACTAACATATGGAGATTTGAATTGAAGGTTTGATATCGTAATAGGGTTAAGTCCCCTCTTTAAATCACCCACCTAAAATATGAAAGATAATTAAAGCAGATTAATTCTAAGATATATATTTAAAGAAAAAAAGGTAGGGTCAGGATATATATATATTCAGCTACAGTTGTATCAATGAAGTTATCACATCTCCTTCTTCTAATTTCATGCATGTTCCATTCAATTTTCACAACATTGATTCTATACATAAACAATAATGCGTGTAATGCAACAATTTACTTTAAATAATAAAATTTATTATTTGTTATTTTAGAAAATTTTTTTTGTCACTCAATAAAACTAAAAAACTGATAAGTAGGAATAGAAAACAACATTTGAACGGAATTGAACTATCAAATTAAAACTTAATTAATTTGCTATGCTCAAGCGAGCTGGAAATGTCTTTTTAAGGTACTTTTTTTTTTCCTTCAAATTTTTACCATAAACTGCTTTTAAGAAAATAATATGATAATTAGCAGTTCCTCACTACTAAATCTGCTTCAGTGTGATAATTAAAAAATATATAGTCTGATTTTTAATATATATAAACTATTATAATTTTAATATTTATTTATCATAATAATTTTATCTTTCCTTTTTTATAAAAAACTGCAACTGCCACAAACAGATATTAAAAAAACTTACAATAGGAATTCCGTGGGTCTCTCCATCTACCAAATATGCGATTACTCCTCCAACTATTACCACAACGAGCGGAGCGACAGCGTTTACCCAAAAAAGTTTTGGGATTTTTTTTTTCTGCAATAATGACCAGTTTCAGCTTATTTAAATAAAGTGAATGAAAAAAAAAATTAATAATTTTTACCAACTGCCGAGCGAAAAGTAGAAAGATCATAAGGCCGATGCCTAACACCGCACTCTGCCATTTACACTACAACATAAAACAAAATCCACCGACAAAAAAAAAAAATTAATTTGCATCGGGTAGAAAATAATACCTAATCACTTATATGAAAAGGTCAACGATTTTATTTTCTAAGAAAAAAAAAAGAATAAAAATTGAAACCTCGGATCGGTGTTGGATGATTGCATGAAGCACGGAGATGACATCTGTTTTGTTGGTGAAATGCTTGAGGCCAAGAAAGCCCTTTAGTTGCTGTAATATTATGATCATAGCCGTCCCTCCCATGAATCCCGTAATGGTAGACCTCGCCAGAAAATCCACTATTATTCCCAGCCTGCAATGGCAAACTCACCGGCCCACATTTATAATTATATGGAAATAATTCAATTGATTTACCAAATTTTGAATTTATTTTTAAGAAAATTCTTATATATGGATTAATTAATTATACATATATTACACCTATATTAAAATAAATTCAAATGTTTCAGAACTCATCATAGTAAAAAATTTAATGTGAATGACTAAACAGATATTATAGCTAAAATATGGAAATAATAAATTAATGTGTCTGTTTTAAAATAATTTTTTTCTATAAATTAATTATAAATATATTTATTTTAATTTTATCATTTATTAATATTAAATGTCTGTTTTATTTTTAAAAAACCAGCATGCAGAGTTACCGGAAAATGCCTAGTGTCAGCTGCAGAAGGCCGGTAAAGAACGCCGCGGTGATAATGGTGTAAACGTATCTCTCCGGCTCCTCCTCCGGCGAGACGATCTCTTGTATTATCGCAGCCATCAGAAGCGACGCCGCTGCCACCGGCCCCACCGCCATGTTGTTTGAACTCCCAAACATGGCGTACACCAGCGGAGGAACGGAGCTCGAATCTTCATCAATTTGTTGACAATAAATTATCATTATGAGGAACCGGAACAATAAATTTTTATACCAATAAATATAAAAAAGTTTAAAATATTCCCGATCATCAAAATTTCTAGAAAGAATTCCTAATTAAAAGGATTTTGTCCTCGTAATTTGGTCATTTTTTATTGTCAAATTAAAGTACGGTTTATAAAATAATGATATCATTTCACGTTATAAAATAAATAAAAGGGGGAAATTGATTTACAAAGGCCGATAATTGGTGGAATCTGGGCGAGCTTGGCGTAGCTTATTCCCTGCGGAATGGCGAGACTGGCAATGGTAACGCCGGCGAAGAAATCGCATCCAAAGAAGGCGAGAGAGTATTTGGGCATCCATTGGAGAATTGGAACAAAATAAGAAATCGTGCTCCAAAACCGTCGGGCCGCGGGCTGCCCCGAAAAATGCCTGAACGGATCGTCGGGAAAGAAAGTCTCCTTTAGCTGAGACTTCAACAACGTTACGAAGGGCCTTCGGCTCGCCAGATTCACCTTCCCCCGCTTCTGACCCTCCATTATCGTCCCCAAGAAACCAAGAGAGAAAGATGAAGCTAAGAAGAGAGAGAGAGAAGGAGAGCGGCGGGTTGCATTATATGAAGCGAAGGGGTCGTGGTGGTTAATGGGTGGACCGTGCGGTTATGAGAGTGGATGCGGATGGGTGAGGGAATGGGGAGATGGAGCTACTGGATTGCCATATTTAGTAATTGGGTTACTTGCAGTTGATTGCAAACTATCCAGATTGATAAGTATCAATGGATGCCAATTTTTCCTCAGTGGATTCCAGCGGTTTTGGCTTTCCTCGTCGTTTTTACTTTTGTATTTTTTTTAGAAAATTGTTATAGTTTTATTTGGCAGCAGTTTCTTTATTGTCATTTTCTGAATTATTTATTTCTTTTTTTAAATAATATTTGTTAGAGTATGATAGCATTAAAGAAAATATTAATTATACGATAGCTCAAAAAAAAAAAAAATAATGTGCCACTTTAAAATTTTTTTTAACTTTTAATAACAAGGCTTTGCCCACGGCAGCTTTGGACTACTATTATTTTATTTATTTAAAAAAAAAAACATATCTAAAAAATGATAATAATAACTGATATGCCATAAAAAATTATCTTGATCGGGCACGAATCTCGATGCAAAATCAAGTTGGAAACTATCAAAATTAAAATTAGGACCATTTGAACTCAGATTTTAGCAAACTTGTAGTTGAATTGAGCGTCTCGAGAATACGAACTCAACGACACCAAATTCAACACAATCCCAGTCCAAACAGGTCCAAATCAAGGGTTAGAAGAACTATTGGAAGGTTCAAACCACAATTTGGATTGCCAAATGGTTTACAAACATAACGTGCTTATAGTCGGATCGAGCGGCTCGACGAGAAGAATCCAACGAGCCAAAGATCACTGAATTCCAACGTCAATAAGACGTTTAAATGTCCGTCAAACAGTCTATGATCAAGACATTCAACATCATCCGTCCATCCAACCACTCCCCATTTACCCTTGATCTCTCATCTATTTATGGGTCATGTCACTCCAAAAATCTATAAATAGACCACTCATTTTTCTTGAAAAGGAAACCAAACAAGAAGGATGAGGAGGAGAAGAGAAGAAGAGAAGAAGAGGAGGGAAGAAACTCCTCCTTGACCACATCCAGAGTTTTGCTAAGACAATGTCAAACTACTATCTAACACCCCAACTTTCAAGTGACGCTAGATTTTAACACTAGACTTCAACCATACGGTTGACATTTGTAATCTGATAGCCCTCAAGGATGAGTCAGCCCATTATACTCAACTTAAATTCTAGTGAAATCTTTTCAACTGGGTCAGGCCCTGTGATTTTTCCCTTTTCTAGGGGTTTCCACGTAAAAAAATCTTGTGTTATCTATATGTCAGCTGGATATCCATACAACGCTAAGACATATAGTTATAACTATATCACCACGTATATTATAGCATGCAATAGATTGGCATCGTCTGTGGGAAAATTTAATCCCACTATCTTAAGTACTACTATAAATGGCTAACAGGCGCAATAATTGTATCTTGGAAGCCTCCTGCTCGAATTCACATCAATCCCAAAATCAATCTCTGAATCAGAGATGCCAAGTATCTGCCTCTTTTTACCCTGGTGGACGAAACCCCGCCAGAGAAGGGACTTCAGGACCATCCCTGGAAGATCGTATCAGAAGGATGGAGGAGTCTCAGAATGAGATCCTTTAACTCTTGCGAGGGACTAGATGACCGACACTAGTACCCCAGGAAGTTATTCCTCTCCCTTGAGATCCACCAAGATTCAAAGATGTTCTTCATGTCAAGGTTCCCCTTTCGCCGCCAAGGATGCACCCTCCAACACATCTAAAGAATGAGCTTGCTGATACGGTAAGCTCTACTCATCCTTCATGTGTAGGCTGCCAGCATCACACTACTTCAGACTTCCCCGAGGATTAGCCCAACAGCACATCGCTAAACTCCCCCATAAAGCCCTACGGTATGAAATATGAAGACTAGTCTGAGAGGAGTTCCCCGTTGGAGATATAAGACAATCTTTTCATCAACGGGATTTTTAGGAGTCGTCATCTCTGACTGAAGCAATCCTCCAACACACCATTCTGGCAAGATTCAAACTACCGAGCATTAATTCATACGATGGGACAACTGACCCATATGAACTTATCAATCACTATATGACCATAATGCCAAGTCTTCCTAGTTACGCTTAAAGGATAAGCTTGGACATGGTTTTATTCACTTCCCGTCAGATCCATTCCAATGTTCATCAAATTAGCCAAAATATTTGTCGAATAATTTATTGCCAATCAGAGGATGGTTATAGACTCTTTCCACCTCTCAGGAATTCGCTAGAACAAAAATGAGTCCCTCAAGGAGTACTTTTAAATATTTTCTACTGAGGCCCAGCAAATTTCAGGGGTAGATCCCGAGTTACTTAAATGTGTATTTCTCAAAGGGCTTTATCCTGACCCTTTCTACTCAGCACTTATATGAGATATGGTCCATTCATATGTGGACTTGATCCATCATGTGGAGACCAAAATCTCTGCCAATGAAGCCATTAATGCTCATAGGAAACAATTTGAGAAAATAATTAGGAAGCATAAAAATACACTAGAAATTAAGAATCCATCATCATAATAGATTAAACAAAAAAAGTAGAATCTTCCCCCTCCACCCTCACAGCCATAACGAGAGCCTTGCAAAGAAAAGGAGTATATGCCACTTAATATATTCCAAGTAAATCTATTAAAGTCCATCTGGGATCAGGAAAGCATGAAGTGGCCACACCCTTTGAACCTCAATATCGGAAACCAGGAATAATATTGTCACTTGCATCGTAGTAGAGGACACTGTTGACCTCATTATTCGAGGTCAATTTCCCTGAAATCGACTCTAGTACCTAGGTTTTCGTAGCCTAGTGTAGATGTCGCACACGCAGGATTTCCCTTAGGTGGACACCTAATGACGTAGCATCGACTCGAACCTATCACTCAACTCGAATCAAAATCAATTCAATCCAATTTTAATTCAACTCCAAACGAACTCAAATCAAGCCCGCTTTATGATTCATCGATGTCAATCGACTCAATTTAATATAATCTAATTCGATTTTGATCAAATTGATATATCATTGGGCTTAAAACAACTCACCAATCAAATCAAATTAACTCAAATTGAATTTGATTTCAATGGCTCCGATTAACCCGTTTTGACTTGTCACAAGTATATATATAATAATAATTGATACGTCGTTAAAAATTATCTTAATCGGGCACGAATCTCGATGCAAAATCAAGTTTGGAAACTTCAAAAATTAATTCGGAGACCATCCGAACTCCGATTTCAGCAAACTTACAGTCGAACTGAGCGTCGTAGGAATACGAACCCAACGACACCAAGATCAACCCAATCCGAGCCCAAATGAGTCCGAATCAAGGGCTCAAAGCGCTGTTGGAAGGTTCAAACCTCAATTTGAGTTACCAAACGGTCTCCGATTTTGACGAGCTTATACTCGAATCGAACGGCTCAATGAGACGAATCAAATGAGCCCAAGATCACCGAATTTTGAAATCATTAAGGCCTTCAAATGTCCAACGAACGGTCCATAGTAAAAGGGTTCAACAACAACCCATAACCACCCCACTCTCCCTCTCCCTCAACCCAAAACCGCCCACTCTCCTCTCCCTCAACCGACCTCCTCTCATCTCCCTCTAAAAAAAAAAATTTCAGAACTCCTTCCCATTCGCAAGGAACCCCAACACCCACTCTCCTCTCCTCTTCAAGTTACACGAAATCAGCCTCCTCTCCACACGAAGCCCCTCCGTCGCTCCTACAGCAGTTGCACGCCGGCAATCTTTTAAATCTTGGGTATATCCTCTACATATTCATCCTCTTTCTTTTTCTTTTAACAATTTTAATGATGAAAAAGTGATTTGATAAAGTTTAATACTTACTTTTTTTTTTAAAAAAAAAGGAGAAGAAAGTTTGTGAGATTAAAAATGTGAGAATTTTTCTTTTTATTTTCTCTTATAGCAAAGAGAAGAATTTTCTTCCGTTGTTTAACTCAATCTTGTTTGGATTTTCAATAATTCATGAATTTATAAGCTATTAAATTGGAATGCATGCTTATTTCGCATTACATTTAGATGAAGACTAAATGGATTTCTTAAAAGATGTTATGAAAAGAAATCTAAAAGAATCCGGTTAAAATTCATGGGTTTTCCTTTTCATTCAAAAGAGGATATTTGAGATAAAAATATTATGAGTTCATTTAGTTATAGTAATCGTAATTTATTTTTGGAAAGGTTTCTTTGATTGAAAATATTTTTTTAGAGATTAGAAGATGCATCGTTTGCTGTATATCTTTTATTCCTAACATCTAGTTAGTAATCTTATCTTGAGATTATAAAAGAATAAAAGATATCAGTTCATATGTGAAATTTTGTTGGAAACTATGCATATGCTTCGTGATTAAATTATGAGAATAATATATTTCAAATGTAAGATTGTAGGCTTTATGTTGGCAAGCTCTGCGATTTTTAGAGAAAATGAAATTATCTAATTCCTCTTTCTTTTAATGTCAATTAGCACAATTGTTAAGATGAAACGAGTAAATGAAATGGTGTTTGGTGGTTGAAAGAGGTGTTTTCTTCTTCATATAATTATGTTATTTATTGTCAAAATTCTTTGTATTTGTTGTATTAGCTTTAAAGTGAAAGTTCAATAATTGCATTGGTAGTATACTTTGAGTTTTGAAAAGAATTTTGTTGAAATTGTTTTCTTTTATTAAACTTTATATAGATATTTAAGTTGAGACATAGTCTAAGCAATTTGTATATTCTCATACAATGATTTTAAAAAGAGAATTTTTCTTTTGTTTATGAAAATAAAGTGTTTGATGAATTTATGTATGTTAAGAAAGGCGAAATGCGTAAAGGTGGAAATGTGGTAAAACTGGTGTATGATTTGAAGAATAGAAAAGTGTATGTTTGAGTGAAAAGTAAAGTATTTGGTTTGACAAAAAAAAAGTAATTTGCATATGTGTATAAAAGTGGAATATGTGTAGGTTTTGAAAAAGTGAAAGTATATATATCTTTGGAAAGTAATCTATGTATGTTTTGGAACATGACATGTATATGTGTGTTTGAATAATGGAAATTGTATGTGTTT